TCAAAAAAAAGTTTCTTTGTCTTAACCATTTTTTAGCAGATCAAATTATTATTCTAATAGTGAAAAAATTATGTTAATCAGATGTACCGCTCAAGATATTTGTTAGATTTAGTAAAATTTGCCCAACTAGCCCTGCCCTATCCTACTTATTTTAATGTAATGAAGTTATACATTTACTTATAGGGTGTTTAAAAAAAATGTAGAAAACTCAAAGTGGAGGGGCACAATCGTCAGTTTCTAAAAAAAGGTTCTTTTTTGTCTAGAATATGAAACAGGATTTCACCTCAAAAAAGAGAAAATATTACCCTTACCAAAAGTGAAGTTAGAGAAGTTAGAGTAGGCAGTGGAAAATTCTTAACTACATTTACAAATAAAAAAGGTATTTTAATGTTTTGTTTTATTATTTTTCAAATTTTGTTTGTAAATAAATAAATTTGTTGAAAATACTAAATTTTTTTATTTTAATATTAATATAAATTATTAAGTAATGCTTATGGAAAAGTTTTGTTTAAAAGTTATACATGTTGTATTTACGTTAAATACCATCAAAAATTTAAGTCAGCAAACCATACAAAGCAATAAAATGATGTAAAACTTGCAATGAGAGTGTTTTTGATTAGCCGTGTCAAAATAATACTATATTAAAATTTTGCGAATACTTATATTGTAGTTATTACTTTCATAATAATCAACAGTTATCACAGAATTAGGAATTCCTAGGTATTTAATAAATACTTACAATATGAAAGAACTTAAAAACCAAGTTTTCACTGTGTATGTTCTTTATCGATGTGTCCTTATCTGTTCAAGAAAACATTATTGCTTTTAATTAAAAGGGTCATATTTATACCATAAAGTTAACATTTTACTAAATCTTTTTTTTTATTTTATTTTTCATTTTTTTATTTTTTGTTTTTTTTTATAATTTAACCTTTATTATCTCGTGATGATATAGTTATTTTTTATGTTAAACTGCAAATATTATGTATTAAAAATATTATAAATTTAGATGTTATTCTATTTCTTTAGTTCTACTTTAGTTCTCTACAAACTACCTTATGTTTATTTTATTTACTTTTAAAAAATGGTTTTAACTTGGTAAACTTCAAGGGCGTGTCTAGGGGATGTCTGCTATGTCGTTGGCCGAACCCAAAAAAAATTAAATGAAAGTTTTTCAACTTGATTATATTTTTGAAAAAAATCTTATTATATGTAACTATTAAAACCAAACTACAGCTAAAACTAAACAAATTATGCACAGATAAATATCTGAAACGGTTGGAAAAAAAGTAAAAACCGAAAAACGTTTCTAACTCTAAAAAATTAAAAACTGGAAAATAGTATATCAGTTTCATAATTTAAGGATTGTCAAAAAAGAATAATTACAATATTTTGATGGAGTTCAAACTAACTTTTGAGTTAAATAACTTAATTAAAAACTTGAATTAATTTATTTTGTTATATAGAACTTTATGTTTTAACTTTTTTCTTTCATTGGTTTAAAAAAAATCAAAATGATTAATTTAGTTAGAACAAACTTTGGACTTCCCTTTTGATATACACCCGGAGTAGAATTTTTATCAAGTTTTATTGTTTAAATATTACCAGGAGGTAAAATTAGTAAAAACTAGTATATATCAAAATATATCAATTGATATCCCCTGTTTTATTACACTAGACTGAGTATCGTTTTAATAACTTGCATTTTAAGTAATAAATAAGGAGAGAAAAGGTTTCAAATGTGAAAAATAAATTTCGGACTTCCTTTTGTCATACACCCTACTTAATTTGTGTTTTATTAAATTAATTGTATTAAACATATAAGATGGCCGATGATTAGTTCAAAATGTTGCTTAATTCACAAGTTTATATAGCAATTTAAAGAAAAAGTTAGAGAATGTTAAAGAAAAGCATTATTTCTTTTAAAGTTAGGAACTTTTAATATCACAATATTATTTGGATACAAGAAAGGAAGACTGAGAGTTATTACAAGTACAAGCTGTTTATAGTTGCATTGATAAAAATTAGTATTTGTCCCATGGTTTTCTTTAATAATCAAGAAGAAGATTTTAGACTTTAATATAAATTTTAAATAAATCATTTTGTTTAACTATTATCAGAATCATGATAATCGTAATAGGAAATTTGATGAACCACATAAAAGAAAAACTTGTTAACTTAGTATTTTATTAAAAGCTATTATTGATTTTTCTTTGGGTGTTATCAAATGTGAAATTATGACATGGATACTTTACAAAAGTTTTTTATACCTATCTTTTTTTGTCTCAAAAAATGTCATAAGTAGTGCAGCCCCTGCTACTGCTTCTTCTACTGAAGTTAATAACAAATTTTGATTTTATTAATGCACTGTGTATAACAAAACATGTTTTTAATATAACTTTTTTAATTATACAATTTGCAAGCAAGTAATAATGATAATTTTTATAGTTTAAATTTTATTCAAGCATTAAATGGTTTTGTCTCTATAGTTAGAAATATTATTACTCAACACCACCATGCTTTAAACAAGCCTAAAAATTGCATTTCAAATTATTTTAACTTGGTTATTGCTGTTTCTTTGCTAGACTATTTGATTTTTATCTAGATTACTGACTCAATGGTTGATTAATACAATTTTGAAGTGTTATAAAGCACCTATGTTTTAATTTCTTCTTTCTAATATTCAGTTTCTTCTAAAAACAATTGTAGAAATTCAATGTTTTTTTATACTAGTTTGGAGGACCAACTCATATGTCTTAGTGTCTTGTTTAACCAAAGGTTTTTATTATGTCTTGTTTAACCAAAGGTTTTATTAGGTTTATTTATTAATTCCAAACCAAAAGCTTTTTTACCTAAATTTGATCTGTAGGAAGTTTAGTTTAATTTCACTTAACTGCCTGAATTTCAAAAAGGAACTTTAATCTAATAATAATGAAACATTATAAGCAACAAACCTTTTTAAGTTTGTTATAAATACTCATAAGTTATGTTTTAAATAAAAATCAAACAATACAAGTATAACTTAAAATTTTTTAGCTGCTTTTTGTTAAACAGCTATTTTTATAGCCAGACATCTTTGTAAAAACATTTAGCATTGTACAGTTATTGCAATAAGTTTTTTGATTTTAAGTGTTTCTAAAGTTTATTTATAATTAAATATTATTTATAAAGTTATATAAATTTTTACAAAGCAAAATCTTGTATTAATCTTGTAAATTGTTTTCACAAATCTTGTAAAAAATTTTAACATGTATATATTATACATTATGACAACTAAATATTTTCAAAAAATAATTTTTTTAGTTTCCAAAATTAATACTTTGAGTTTTAGTGACCATTTCATCAAAGTTACAAGTCATTTAACGAACTATTAAAACATTTTTATAAAATACACTCAATCCGGTCAAAACCCGGTCCCTCTCAGCCTCTCTTAAAATATAGGGAGGCAGAGAGGAGCGCAATTTTTTTTTTAGACTTATCCAAAAAATTACCTGTACACGCCCGTGTGTATATATATATATATATATATATATATATATATATATATATATATATATATATATATATATATATATATATATATATATATATATATATATATATATATATATATATATATATATATATACATATGAAGACCACACGGGTAAAACCACAGATGTCCACTTTTTGAAAATTTCGAGTTTTATATATTTTTATGATATTCTAGTACTAAGCTAATTTAATTTAAAAATTCATAACAAAAAAACCTTGTTTTATATATATATATATATATATATATATATATATATATATATATATATATATATATATATATATATATATATATATATATATATATATATATATATATATATATATATATATATATATATATATATATATATATATATATATATTGGAAACAGATGGCTTGATGTTTTATGTTCTATGCTGCATGGTTTTAAATTATCACTTGTCCCACGTGTAAAGGATATCAAATTGATTTGTAATTTATGAGCTAGGCAAAATACAAAATTAAATGTTTTAGTTTGATTTTATTATCTAGTTTATAAAACTGAAAAACTTAACAGCATTACTGTTTCATTACCAATTAGAAATCTGCCACATTATGTATAGGTGTTACACCTATACATAATTTTATTTTTACATACTTATCTTTACAAATTCGTTTAGGTTCAAGATTGTGTACTTCCAACAGCAAAAAAGAACTTTAAAATGTTGTTGGTAATATTCTGAAGCGCGCACCTGGTCAAAAAGAAGGTAAATGACGTCAAGTGTTCGAATATTCAAATAATGGAAATTAACGAGTAGAGGAAAATGTTTAAAAAAATTATAACTAATATAACTTTGCACAATTATATTATTGAAAAGTTTAATCGTGTTATTATTATTTTTTCTTGTTCTCAAGGAATTTTATGAAAACATAAATTTTAACCCTACGTTTGAGTAAAGACATGTAAAAACACGTATTATAAACGTCAAAATGAGGACGTCTAAATAAGGTTGTTCAAAAAACGTCATTTGGCGTTTTCATTTAGCACTAGTTCTAAAAGTCCTAAATTCACGACTTTTTAGACGTCTGAGAAACACGTCTTTATTCCCTCCTAAATACACGATCTAATTACGTTTTAGAAAGACGTCATTTGGCGTTGCCATTTAGAACCAGTTCCGGATACTAGTTATATGACATTCTATGTTCAATTCTGTAAAGTATGAATTTTTTAAGCATTAATTTCAAAAATACTATTTTAACTTAAAACTAATAAAACTTATATATATATATATATATATATATATATATATATATATATATATATATAAACATTCAAAGTTTTGTTAGTGTTGAATTAAAAAAGTATTTTTGAAAATAATGTTTAAATATTTATACTTTGCAGAATTGAACATAGATTGTTATCTAATTAGTATCAATAATTACAATTTAGTTTATAATACGGAATTAAAATTGATTTAAAGCAATATTTAATTTATAAACTTACTTCTTATTTTGTTGTCAATAATGCAATCTTTTTCTTTTGGTTTACTATCACTTACACTGTTTATCGAAACGGCAAAAGTTATTGTAGCAGCCATGTTCAATATATAGAATAAAAACACCTGAGACTAAAATGATATAAAATTTTAAAACAAAATGTAAAATTCTAAACAAACTTGCAAACTTTTTTCTAGTTTTTAAATCTATCTCTAAAAAATTTAAAATTGTTTCAAAACAAATGTACCTTTTTTACAAGTTTTACTCTATGGTTTTACCTGTAAAGTAGCTGAAAGTTTGGGATAAAAAAACAGAAAGTCAGTACATGCAAAATAAAATTTTAAAATAACAATTAAATCCATTTAAACTAGTGTTGTATAAATTAAGCTATAAATAAGCTATAACTTTTAACCAACTTCCTAGTAAACCATTCTTATTGCGTCTAAGCCGGGGTTTAGATAGGATTATTCGAATTAGGTTCGGGATGAAACATTTAATAAAAAAAAACTCAATCGCCGCGGTAAACAAATGTAACTTTACCAAAAAAAAAATAAAGAAATTAAAAATGCCCATAATTTTAATAGAAATTAAATAAATTTTTATTCTACACAAGAAAAAATATACCATTTTTATTTTTTTTAAATATGCCATTATTATTTAAGGAACAAGAAAAATTCGTTCTCTTACTTAGTAATAACTTAAAAAAACTCAATGCTTTGATACTATTGATATAAAATCATCGGATTTTGAAAAAAAAAGTGTACTTATTCAAAATCAATGAAAAGGACTTAAAATAAAGTTTGAATTTTCATAAACATTCTTGTAAAAAAAACTCCGTAATATTTATTAGACTTTTCCGCTGTTATGTAACCGAAAAAGTCCGTTTTTAATAAATTGCGGTCCTTTATCTATACTTATAAAAAAAAAAAACATTATTTTATGACTTTGTCTGTATATATATGAGAGGATGAAGTTCTGTAACTTAAACTACGGTCTTTAAGCGTATAATTTAGTATGCTTTAGTATAGGGTCTGATTTACAGAGCGCCATTTGTCTTTTTTACGAGAAGAAATTATACACGTATATAATTTCAAGTTAGAGAAGATAATATATTTTCATTGGTTTTACTCGAACAAAAGTGTTATATGTTTAAAAAAGTGTATTCAAAAAAACTTATATTTAATTTATATATATATATATATATATATATATATATATATTATATATATATATATATATATATATATATATATATAACTATATACAGGGCCGTCCCGAAGAGGTCTTCCATGGGGGGTGTAAGTATTTTTTTGCCAACTAAGGACAAAAAAAAAATAAAAGGTCCTCAATATTTGCAATTCGCCAACTATAAATATAGCCAACTATATTTATATTTAAATTTGCCAACTATAAATTTAATATAAATATAGTTGGCAAACTGCCAACTCAAAAAGTATTTCAGTTGGCACATTGAGCAAAACTTGCTCAATGCCGACTCAAATGCTTTTTAAAAAAAAAAAAATGCAATTTGCAAACTACAAAACCAATTAGCCATATTTTTATAGTTTAAAACTTGCTCAATGTGCCAACTTAAATGCTTATATAACAGCTTTGGGAGGTGGGATATATAAATATTTATATATATATATATATATATATATATATATATATATATATATATATATATATATATATATATATATATATATATATATATATATATATATATATATATATATATATATATATATATATATATATATATATATATATATATATATATATATATATATATATATATATATATATATATATATATATATATATATATATATATATTATATATATATATATATATATATATATATATATATATATATATATATATATATTATATATATATATATATATATATATATATATATATATATATATATATATATATATATATATATATATATATTGCTACATCGACTATCTTATAGCCTGACTCGCAATGGAGTACTGCAATCTTATAGCCTGACTCGCAATGGAGTACTACTATCTTATAGCCTGACTCGCAATGGAGTACTACATTGACTGAAAAATAGACTAACTCGCAAGTGAGTGCTGCTTCATCGATTGAGGGCTTGGTTTGGTCAGGTAGTCTATCATTAAAAAAAAAAAAAAAAAAAAAATTTCGAAGTTTTTAACATTTTCTGCTCAGGTTTATTAACGTGCTCTTTAAAACAACAGTTTATGGGAAAGACTTTGTGACTACCATGCAAGACTAGTAATAAAAAGACTAGTAAAAAAAAGTAATATTATATGTATGGTAGTGATTTATTTTTTCCATTTTCTTGCAGCATAAGGGTTGACAATAATTTTGATAAAATTCAGAAGATCAACAATGACTGTTGGCATTATTTGCATGCTGATGAATAAAATTTACTAGAAACAACCAGAATGTGTCTACACTTTAAATAATTAAAAATTATGAAAGGTTTTTAAGTATAATTATAATAATGATATTTAGGCTTGTTTATTGGAATGACTGGGTGACTCATGTAGAGAATTTTCTAAAAATACCAACTTAATATTAAATGATGATAATTTCTTTATTTATTACGATTATTGTGAGAAAATCAATTTTTTATCTGAAAAGTGTTTTATTTTAAACCTTACAATATCTTCAAGTATAAATATAATAATATAATGTTGTAAAATACTTTTTTTACAGCACTCATTGAAACAAAATATTGTTCCAAAAATCAGTTACTTAAAGAACTACTTTTAACAACGACTTTAAACCTTTAAGTTCGGAGACAACCATTAAGACAGACGATACGTGATTACAGATTTGATTAGAAAGTTGCTCAATAAACATGTCATTGTAAAGTGCCTTTTATTTGAAATAAATTAGCTTATAAAAATATATAATTTCTCTTTTATATTTTTAAAAAATTGTTTAAAGTTTTGCAAGATTTGCGTTGGAATTTAGGAACGCAAACTTATCTGAGGCCCATATAATAACCGCGGCCAAGTATCGCTGGGACCCCCGGATTACTTCTTATATGGTCCCTTTACAAGTTAATAGTGTGGGATTTGTTTAGGACCCATGCGAGTAACCCGGCGGGAAAATCCATATGTGCCCAGGATGGAAACGCGGCCAAATACTTGCGGGATCTCGTAGGACTACCCACATGGCTCCCAGTTGACAACCCCAAAGGGTCCCACATGCTACCCGTATCACATTACCGGTTAGGCACTTTCTCTTGCTTGCTCGGCATATATTCCAACCCCAAATCGACTATGCTCAAGAAAAGGAAGATGACGAAGTAGATAGAGAAGGAGAGTTCTGCCTCATTTTGATTTTTGTCCAGATTTTCAACCATAATTTAAATTTTATTTAAGATTTAATTTCAACCGTAATCCAATTGTCGAGAAAAGTTCTGCCTCATTTTTATTTTTGACCATCTATTCAACCATATATTTAATTAAATATATAGTTCATTTTCATCCATAGCGTGTATAAATTGTTTTGTGTTAAATCAATTTTTTAGATTTAAAAATAAGTTTTTAAACTAGCGATAATTTAGTTTCTTGTCGTCGCGGATTTTTTTGATATTTTAAATTATTCCTATTTTCAAATTCCATTATGTAACTTCATCTCAATCTCTTTAAATATTTCTTGACGTCATATTTCTTGTGTGACGTCATCGGTAACGTAATTTCTTTTAACTTCTCTTATATGATATTCGATAAATAAATCTTTTTTTTGTAAGTCTATCAGTTCTCCATATTCTTTTAAGTCTATCAGTATATATTTATATTTCTCCAGTATATATATATATATATATATATATATATATATATATATATATATATATATATATATATATATATATATTTATATATATATATTTATATATATTTATATATATATATATATATTTATATATATATATATATATTTATATATATATATATATATATATATATATATATATATATATATATATATATATATATATATATATATATATATATATATATATATATATATATATATATATATATTTCTTTTGACATTATACTCATCACTTGCTATAAGATGAAGAAGTCGTCGTTATAGTGGTATTTGTATTAGCATTAACAGAAGTAGCTGATACGCATATATTCACATTTACATTGGAGTTTTGCATTTTATATATACAATATAATTATCTAAAGATTTTTCAATTCTTTAATATCAACCCATGAGTTAAAAATATCAGGATATCCATACCACTTTACTAACGATTTGTTTCCTTGTCTACGAATAACCTTTTCAATTCTAAATATCTCTTGATTTGTTTTTTGTAGTTCTTGTTCATAAAAAGTACCTTTTAATTCTTCACTATTATAATCAGTTAGTTTATAAATTAGTGAATCTGTGTACTGAATCAGTCATACTGTGAATACCTCTTCAGTCCATCTTGGTGTGTATGATTTTTCAAACGTTTCTTTTTTTATATATTTATTCTCACTTTATCACCTAATGAAAACTTGGGTTTAGTAGGATTTGGTGTCACTTTACCATTTAAATTTAGAAATACTATATTCTCATTTTTTTTATTGTTTGCTTCAGCTGGAGTCATTTTAATTGAAGAATGTTTTTTGTTGTTCTATATATTTACTATTTTATCTAAAATATCGATGTATTAGATTTAGCAGAGAAGTACTTGAACTTTTTCTCTTTTATTGTTCTGTTTCATTGTTCAATTACACAGCTTTTTTCTTCATTTTCAGTCGAATAGAGATGCACGCCAAATGCTTTAACATGCTTATTATAAAAATTCTAAGCCTTTATCTACCCATAATTTTCGTGAGAAACTTTAATTCCAGTTTTACTTTTCAATGGAACAATCCATCCGTACTTTGAAAATACATCTATCACCATTAATAAGTATTTTATTCCATTATTGAAATTAGAAAAGATTGCATGTAAACTAAATCAGCATTCCATATTTCATCAATCCCATTTGCAATCACTTTTCATTTTCTAAAATGTTTTACAGGCTTATGAAGTTCGTTTGCAAGTTCATCAGTCCATTTCAGGTTTTTTCTTTTTTTACTAATCGCTGGTAGTTTTTTGACTTGACACCTAGTC